CAACTGGTCGGCCTACTCGGACAAGAAAGTGACAATTACCACAAAACGGTCGAAGCGGTCAAGCCTTGGCCGTGTTTTAACGCAAGGCGCAAGGGACTCGTTAAACACGACTTGAAGCGTCAACTCAGCACTGAATTGCCTCGGCCGAAAGCGAGCGTTCAAACTACCATCATTGATTGCCTTGCGGAGAAAAAAGACGGGCTCAGTCTCGCCCCGAAAGAGGTCGTAAAACGGCACAGACAAACGCACGTTTTTGTACCCAACGCAAAAATCCACTGTGTTTACTTAAAGAACTGGTGTTTACGTTTGGGCACCAGCGCAAGTGACAAGCTCCTTCGAGTAAACAACCATTTTTTGCAATAAAAACGCAGTATTGTGGACTTGGAGGCATGGCCAGCGTCAGTGTAGCATGTTGGGCGTGCCAGGTCAGGTTGCGCTCGAAATCGTACCCACGAGAGCCCGGGGGGGGGGAGGGGGTAGGAGAGGGCTGCGTGTCGGAATAAACGATGACAATTAAACAAAGTGCCTACACCTTTTAACTACGTCAAGGAAATTGCGGGAACGCGGCTGTGCAGTGTTGACATTGTACTTCCGGCAGGTAAAGAGTACAAAAATGGCATCTGTTTAACAATGACAGACATATTCCATCGGTGAATTGTTATTCAAGTCTGGTAATAACTGTACTGATAGGGAAAATTATTGATTTCTTGCTTCACAGTGGAGTGATTACATAGGCTTAGAGCAATAACCTTGGCTAACAAGAGTTGACAACGATTAACTCAAACCCCAATAGAGTCACCGACGAACCACGGTACTGATTTTAATGCGCTGAAGGTGCCTTGTCGTGGGTTTTTGGACTAGCAAGACAGAATTAACAGGACAACTGGCGATGACGCGTCTCCTCCGGAAGGCCCACACACACCAGCATGACAAATGTTGCTACGGCGGGGAGGGGGTTGGGATTCGCCAGGTTTTAATGCATTTGTGGGACAGCCTAGCCAACTCTACTCTGAAGACAGAAAGCGTGGGAGTCAATGTGCGCCTTGAGGTGACGCCTTGGTGCATCCAAACGTCTAAGTGGAGCTCGGAAAGCAAGCTATTAACACTATTCAAGCCGATGTTCCCTTGGCTTTCTAAGGCTACTTCCACGCATGACTTGGGATGCAACGTAGACGATGTTGTGAACCCGTCTAACGAAGCAACCTTCACCACCATCTCCATGTGGATCCAATCCGCCAAAATGCAAGCATCTACTTGACAGCGAATGCTTGTAGCAATGCAGTTTGCATGAGGGAATTGCAGCGGTTCACACCCACCCACCCCAGGGAGCAAATCCGAGGAACAGAAGCAGCAGCAGCATCCTGATTTGGAGACATGTACTTTTACGCAGTCCTCGTGTTTGTCGTGTTGGCGACCGACGAGTCTGCGTACTCATGAGAGCTCGCAAGACACCCCAACCAGGCGTCAGCGTGCGTGAGAGTCCGATCAATTTTCAGCATCGATTATTTGATTTCTGTTCGGTTCCCACGTATTAACTTCAGCTCGGGGATTTGAATGTCAGCCGTAGCTATCGTACCGATAATGACCCACTTATTATCAAAATCGAGTATAATCGATCGTGAACAGGTAACCTAGGCTGGCTTGGAGACATATACTTTAACGCAGTGCTCGTGTTTGTCGTGTTGGCGACAGACGAGTCTGCGTACTCGTGCGAGTTCACAAAACACTCCGGCCAGGCGTCAGCAAGCGTGAGAGTTCAATCGATTTTTCGCATCGATTATTTGATTGCTGTTCGGTTCCCACGTAGTGACTTGAATGTCAGCCGTAGATATCGTATCGATAAAGACCCACTAATTATCAAAATCAAGTATAATCGATCGTAAAACAGGTAACCTAGGCTGATTCAGTTTTCGAGCGATCAAAGACACAGTCGCTTGTCACAAAGTTACTCCAGATCTTGTTCTCGCGTGCGCTCATTTGATCCTACGCAGAACGCTAGATTGCGTAGGGAGATCATTTATAGTTATTTTCTTTCTACTTGCAGAAATGTAAATCTGCCTTAAATGACAGTACTTTTTTAAAGAGATGTTTTGTCCCAGGACAACAACCTAATCACGTTAAAACCGGACCTCGGGTTTAGCGGTACAGGTTCCCTCGCGTTTGCTTAATTTGATTCGCTGTTAGGGGGGAAAAGAGCTTGCTTTTACTACGAAGATAGAAAAAAACAAACTTGCTAACGTTGGCAGTCTGCATGGGAGGAAATACTTGACTTGAACACTTCGTTCTGGAAGCGTGACAAAAAAAACTGCCGTTAAAAAACACACACACACACACACACAACTTGCAATTGGTTAAGTTTGAAGGCACGAAAAGCGACCTGGTTTGTGCTAAAACGGTGTGACAGCACGAGGGTCTCAAGAAATATTTACTCAGCTTGTCCCAGCGTTACTTTTTTTTGTTCTGGGCATGCCCTACCTATCTCTCTCGCTGTCCGTACCGACTAAGTACGCCAGGGTTAGCCAGATTTTGATTGGCCAAAGGAAGGGAATTAATCAAAAACAGACGTGGAGATGTCTACACCAAACTAACCGCGACCAGTCAAAGGCGACACGGCAATGGGGGACAGCCAGCATGGTCTGGACGCCGGTATCGTGAGAAAGGGTTCTAAAAGGTGTCCCTAAACTGGGACGCCAGGGGGAGGGGAGAGCAGACTACAAGGCGCGGGGCCTTTCATCTTGGTGTCTAACGCGACGGTAACTCGAGATTGGACTACAGATTGCAGTATGTACTACAGTGGCCTTGGGAGTCGAATCAGGAATAAACAGAAGGTGATGTCATTAACTGATATCAAATTACTTCCGCTTTTGATTCGAAAGCCTTACGTGCATTGGGGATTTAGCAGAACGACAAGTTAGCAGTCATGTCAGCTTGGAGAGCAACTTCTTCCAAGAACTGCTTCAGAAGAACCGTCCACACCACTGAACCTTCGGTAGTCAATAAATTCCTCAGTCAGACTAATCAAACCGCGAATTTAAGAGGCGTTTGGAGGTTGCGGTTCCACGGTACGCCTCCCACAGCTGAACGCACAGCCAATCAAATTTCGTCCTTCTGCAAAACTACCTAGAACAGTTGTTTGGCAAACTACGGTAAGTGGGCATGGTATTCCAGCTGTCGCCGGTTGTAGGCGAATTGCAGAAAAAGCCTCTCCCCATGAGATGCGCGCTTCGGAAGTTAAAAACCAGCACTCCCGTCGCCTTGTCCGAATTAGATTGGGAACCAATTGCAACGACCATCCAGTGTAGGCCAATCACGTGACATTCGAAAAGACTTCGCAAAAATCTGCAACTTCAAAATGGAGAACGTCACGTGCCCCGGACAGACTGAAAATGTGACGAGGGAGAAGCATTGGCCGGAGTTGAGGTCACGGGAAGCAGAAGATGGGGCACCGTTTGAAGTCTCCTGAAGACCTATTTGGACATCGCAACTCGTCCAAGTCCATCAAGGACAAAAGTCGGAATTAGCCAAAAGCAGGACTCATTTCTCATTCGGTTTGGCGAGTAATTGTGGAAAGAATTTGTAATTTTAGCACCTGAGATTAAGGGACTTGCTTTGAGCCGAATCTCACATTAAAAAAAATATCCACACACTAAATGCCATCAAATACCACCAGATACAGAAGTATGAGATAGAGCCTTTCAAGCTCTCGGGGTAAGCTGACAGAATAAGAAGTTTTTTATTTGAAAAAAAGGTAGCTGACTGGGTCGAAATGAGAAATTCACAAGGCCCTCAGCATCGCGACGAAGCAGTGCGTTTTTGAGTTGGGAGAGCAACCCCGCTAAAGTGCACACTGGGTTGCCACAATAAAAAATTTTATGGCAATCAATGCGTCCTACGGCCATTTCCACTACCAAGTGACAGTAAGGCAGGCTGAAAACTCGCTCTGCGAATTTCCATCCAGATGGCGCAGTTCGCCGTCCGCAAAGTCCATCACGGGGGGCCAATAACCGGGGAAATGGGACCGTAGCTACACCTTCAGGAGTAGAAGTTGTACCGAAATTTACAGGAAATGCACACTACAATTACAATTATCAAGGATGTTACCAATGCAGCGAGGAACTTCCTAACGGCTAGAATTCACCGCAACCAGGATCGACGGAAATCATTTTATTGGCTAATTTCGGTGAAAAGGGATTCATTTCGGAGAAAATGCCAGCGGGAATTCTCGGGCAAAAAAAACATGAGGTAGGAAATCGTCAGCCTTAAATTTAGCTTTAATTAATCAAAGGAGCACGTGGATACAAGCCCGGACCGCATTGGCTAGGCAGTTGCTGAAGCGAAATACGAGGGAAAAAAACTGCTTGCAGTGCAGGCAAACTCTCGACAGAGCCTGGGCACCAGGAAGGGTACGTGCTGCGTTATGCGGATGAAAAAAGAAGCGGATTCAACTATGCCAATGGGTGGAGTGCAGTGCAAGCGTTGCATTATTTCTACAACACCGAATCGTAAACAGCTGATCTTCGAAGGACTAACAGCTGACGTCTTTTTCGAACAGCAACGAAGGTTGCGGGACGTACGTCGACGTTCTTGAAAGCGAAAGGAGGTGGCGGCGCTTCTGACGCACAACCACCAGCAAGAAATGCGCACAAACTAACTCACCGGCGACTTGTTCAAGAGACGTAGCCTCGAGGTCCAGCAGCATCACGGCTTTCGCCAGGCAATTGCGCACCTCAAAGACGGACATTAGGGGCTGGATGGCCACGTGGGGCTTTGACCATCGATCCGCGCTCTCCTCTACCTCCTCCTCAAACTTGATCCACCTAGACAAGCGAAAATAAGATCCATTAGAAAACGCGAACTGAGGGAAAATCGAACTAAGCGCTGCGAAGTTTTGTGTTTTCGGATAGTCTATGACGACATGGGGTCAGGCAACTACACTCAGGGTCCCACCTCAACCAACTGGGGAATTTCCGATCAAGTTCCTCGCATGGAACGAAAGAAGGAGATGTGGGGACACATTTTGTCACCGCTAGTAGAAAAAAGAGCTTTTCACACGAAACGATCAGCAATTAAATCTTATCCCCAGTGGTAAAGTAGCTTCAGTATGACGGTGAGGAAAGAGTAATCACTTTAATGTGGATCTTAAGAGACATAAAACCGGTCGATCAGATGAAAAAAAGGCTGCTAAAAGATAAGATCTTTAAAAAGCGCGCTAGACTTGTGGAAAGTTTATTATAAAACCCCGAGATTTGCTGCAATCGATTGTAAGGGCTCGGTTGAAATCGTTCCCCTAAAGACGGTGGACAAACTGACATCGCAAGAAAAGGGAAAACCTAAACAATTACTTGAAAAGGGAAACAGATGGGCCAGGTGCCACTCCGTGGTTGCCGTGGAAACCAGACATTTTACACAATGTTCAGGCGGGTGTGACGGTGGTTCTGCAAATATGCACGGTGAAAAGTTGCCCGTGGACGGGTGATTTACGCTGTGCATTTACGTCATTATTTTTGCCCTTTCCCTTCACTCAAGAAGGAGCAAAAGCAATGACCAGAGGGCCTAGAAACGCGGATGCCTACTGAGGGACACGATTGTCGACATTAAAGCCGCCGGGGACTCGTTTGTGCCGTCGCCTCACTCAACACGACATAAAGGAAACGGGTCAATTGGCCAGGGCTGCGTTGGGGATTGCCACCTAGCGACCCAGTCACGAGAAACGCACTCGCTCGGGTGCCACTTACCAAATCGCAAACTCCAAAATACACCAAAAAGTAGGCAAGATTTTGGCTCTGCTGTTTGCGACTTCAGTGACGGCTCAAGCGGATATTTAATCTAGTCTTACCGTGGATTCGCCCTAACCCATGGTCAATCGATGTTACTGCACCCAAATCTAACCTATCAGGGCCTCGGACGAATTGATTTTGGAATCACCTAAGATGCGAAAACCACCTCAGAAGCCTTAAATGTCAAAACGTTAAATCGTCATTTTGTCTGAGCAGCCAATCGGCACGAAGTTGCGCGCAATAACAGCAAGAAATTAGCAGCAACAGCCTGGTGCAGAACACGTAAACATGAAGATAACTTCGGGATTTGCGACAACAGCATACCACTCCCCCTGTCCGCAATGAAGACGGAACACTACCGCGAGGACTCAAAGGGACCACGTCAAGCCCGCAAAATTTACTACCCTTTTAAGCATCTCATGGGTTTCCGTTGAGGTAGACAAGGAGCATTACATCAGCGATAAAATACCCAAGACCGTCTCTAATAGGTTGTCTGGTTACTGGGTTGCCGTTTTGCCAAGTGATTCCAGTAAATGACGAAAGCAGTGCAAGAATTCCACGTAGTATGGGGTCAGATGGAAAGGCTCGATTTCATTGGTCGATTGGTGACGCCCCGGTCCCTCAACCCAACACATACCTCTGGCATTTAAAGGTCAAGGCAGCGGAAATTTACGTGACTGCCGGGGAAACGCACGAATTATGCCCCAACCATGTTAGGAAATCGAGCATTGTGACGTTTCACCCAGGAGACCACTTTAGACTGAATTAATCTGATTTGACAGCATTCGATTTCCCTATCTGCTCGGGTTATTTACTTCGAAAAACACTTTTTTTCCTCAGGTGCCCCAACACTTATGCAGAGGTGATGTGTGGTGTTTGACCTCCACGAAGAAGGGGCAAAACATTGAATAATTCATGAGGTGAATCCGGGGCATTGACCGGCATCTGGCCTGGCACTGGGAACCATTTTGAACGAGGAAATCTCTTGCATCAATTAGGGAAAAAATCGCACGAATTTATCGGAGACGAAAAGCGTTGAGCCTTCGACAGAGGCCATCGCTTGATTCAACGGACTCCATGAGACGCTTCGCGAGTTTTAAACGGCCACAAAGCACCCCCTAAACGGACGTCGGACACTGGAAGGAGGCAAGATGAAAATGAAGGGTGGCACATACCTAACTCCAGGCTAGTCATTAAGTGGCTCTCTTAACGTGGAAAAACACAAAACATTGTTCGAAGACACTGTAACAAACTGGTAAAATGCAACTGCGTGTAATCTGATATACACGAAGAATGTATCACAATGCATTCCAAAAATTCACATAGGACTAAAAGAAAGGCATTAAAACAACCATTGTAAGGTGCTTGGCAGTCTAATAGCAAGGACAAGCGATTACGGTGTTGCCGACAGTCCTAATTGCGACGCAGCTAAATCCCCTGAAGCTTCGAGTAACTAGCATTTGAGAAACAAAACCACTGATCTTGAGGGACCTGTGGCAAGACGAATATTTTCCTCGGAAGTTTACTACTCCAGTTTTTCGTTTTCCCTGACGCACCGATTGCCTACTCGTTCACATCCAGTTACAGGACTTTTAACAACTTACGATGACACATCCGAAACACGAGGAAATGTTGAGTTATAGGCGTTCTTGCCCTGGCGCTGCTCTGAGATGGTAGGCATGGTTATATATTTGAATCTAAACGTGGAAGGAGGTGATCAACCTAGGGAGTGAGGAGCCCCTCACACAGTCCCCAATTTTGGAGACAGACGTGGCCGGCGTTTGTCCCAGTGTGTGTGCGTGCGTGCGTGCGTGTGTGCGACTAACACGAAACCAGACCACGAGTAAGGGGTAATCGTGACGCCGTGGGACTTGGGTACATTAAGTGCGGAGCTGCTTCAACAAAACTCGGTGCTAATGGGTCCATCGGGGGAGGCGACTTGGTCGTGCAGCCGTTTCCCAACTTTCGACGGTTTAATTGCCATCAGGCACGCATGTGACTGGTTCCTCAACATAGCTCAACGGAAGAAAAGGCGTCACTTCTTTGACTAAAAGGGCTTATGGCGACCGTGAGTACTGCAGGCTACTGGATGCACACCTTCACGTGTCCTCGTTTTGTAACGAAGGCTCCAGTTACGTCCGTTTGGATTGAATTGGAACGTGCATATGGAAAACCGTTCAATGACTAGGAGCTAGCCCACTTAGCCAGATTATCGTGGGAGTTCGCAAGTCACGTGTCAAGGGAGTAACTCAGTTGAGACGCGCAAAGTTGGAGAGTTGGGCGTTTTCGTCCGGCGTGGAGGCAGTTGGTTGTCCACAAGCCGTCAAAACTAGTCGACAAAGAGCACCGCTTCGTGGCCTTGTGGAAATCGAGGTGTATGGCTCTCGCTTCCAAGACGCACACAAAATCCGTCATTGTTGTAAAGCACAGTGAAATTAGTCAAAAGTAGCCGGCCACAGCTTCACGAGGTACGTGGTTATCGGTGGCCAGTTGACCGGAGACCAGAGACACACTGTTGATGTATGCCAAAGGTCTTGTTTTCTGATTTGATGACTCCGAAACAAACCAAGCAAGCGCTATGTTATTTCTAGAGACAAAAGAATGCCGCAAGTTTTACGACGCAGTAAATCATGATTCAATAAATAATTGACCGAGTTGCTTGAACGAAGAATTGACGTGCAATTTCGGTTCGTGGATTTTGCAATTTCTTGAAGCATTTTGCAGTGGTTGGGTGAGTTATTGAGAACAAAGGAATTGAACTCACCATATAATTACTTGCCCACTCATTTCTACCGAACCCGACAACAAAAAAACACAAAAGGCCGGATTTTAGCGTTGCTATTGGTTCAGAAAAAAAACTCTTTAATATTCTCATTTAATTTCAAAAAAATGAGCAATAACCAAGGGCGGGTAGAAAAAAACGTTTCGTCTAAAAAAAACACACTTCGAACTCTCAAAAAGGCACGTAAGGAGAGGCAGAAGCCTTAGCGTAAGACATAAATACAGTAAGATGGTGGGGTTCTGCCCGTCGACCCAGCAAGTGCCACTACCGCATCATTTCAGAGGCTGGAAAACACCAACGGAACACCTCCTCACCTCAACTATCAACAACAACGCAGTCGAAACCAGCACATATACCTAATTTGGGTTGAAATCACAAAAAACAACAGTCACCGCAGCTAGTTAACAGCGAGGTGTTACAGCTACAACACTGTTTGTCGTGTCACGTCGGCCAGTCAACATCACGCCATGCGCTCTGACCTAACTCTGAGCTCTTTCTCAAAATCACCGTGCTCAGGCCTTAAAACACGCCAACATGGCGTCCCCTGGCTTCCACAATCAGCTCCTCCCGGCATCCTGTGCAACACGGAAGCCACTGGAATTTGTGCCACCGTCTTTTCAACCAGAAGGTTGCAGGACGCTCTCGCATTC